TCACAAACCTCAACAAGCCATGGTTTGTTCAACCCCTTGTTTACTGAACCCATCACAGTTCCCTGTGCAGTGTTTGTCCAGGTACCACACCTGGAGTACTGCATCCAGTTTTGGTCACCACACTATAAAATATGTTGAGACTCTAGAAAAAGTGCAGAGAAGAGTAACCGAGATGATTAGGGGACTGGAGACTAAAACATACGATAAACGGTTGCAGGAACTGGGCAAGGCTAATCTAGTGAAGAGTAGAACCAGGGGGGATATAATAGCAGTCTTCCAATATTTGAGGGGCTGCCACAGAGAGGAGGGGGTCAAGCTATTTTTCAAAGCACCTGAAGGCCAGACAAGGAATAATGGATGGAAACTAAGGAGAGATTCAATCTAGAAATAAGGAGGAATTTTCTAATAGAGAGAACAATCAACCAATGGAACAGAAGTTGCCTTCGGAAGTTGTGGGAGCTTCATCACTTGAGACTTTCAAGAAGTGATTGGACTGCCATCTGCCTGAAATGGTTTAGGGTCTCCTGCTTGAGTGAGGGGTTGGACTAGATGACCTATAAGGTCCCTTCCAACTTTGTTAATCTGTTACCTGTTATTATATTTGGCTTCATAGTATGCTCCTGGGTCCTACAATCCAAAAATTAACTGGTGAGGCCAGGAGAAAAAAATAAATTTAAGTTTTCCTACATTTAATGAAAAAATAAGTACAATTAGTCTGTTTCTTCTCTAGTAATGTTCAACCAACATATAGTGTGGCTTTGCATGTGATGTGAACCACATCCTCTGATTCCTTAATCTTAAAGATGAAAAGTTAAATAGTTTTCTGGTCTCGAGGATAAACTTGCCCTAAATTCTCAATGGTGGGAAAGAAATGAAAGCGTCACAGGGCTAGCTGAATCCCAAAGGATTGTGAAAACCTATCTATATACTATTAAAATTCTTGTGCCTGTACCTTTAACTAGGCAAAATGGTGCATATGGTAGGGGAAGCCCTTTTTCAATTAGCAGATTAATAGAGTTGGAAGGGATCTTGTAGGTCATCTAGTCCAACCCCCAACCCAAGTAGGAGATCCTACACCATTTCTGAAAGATGGCAGTCCAGTCTCTTCTTGAAAGCTTCCCGTGATGAAAGTCCCACAACTTCTTTGTAAAAGTTTTATTTTCCATTTTTTCATTTTCATACTCTCACATTATACTGTGCATAGCCGGAGCCATACAACATTAAACAATAATCGCAGCAATTCCTCTTGTCAACAATACCCCCCAAAATAGAAACCCATATACCTCTTCCACTATCTGTACACCTCTTTCTTCCAACNCTAATATGCAAGCAGCCCGGATTCAAATCCCAGATGGGTATGGCAACTGAGAAGAGCTAAACAGCTTGAAATAGCTAGACTAGTCTCCCTTTATTTTTTTATCAATAAATTTAAATTTAACACAAAATAGTTTGTGTTAACACAAAATTTCCATGCCTGTTATCAAGTTGACATTGTCACAGAAGTGACTGCCTGTGAAGGTTCCTGGACTGAGTTGAAAGGGCGAACGTGGAAGCAGTATGTTCCTTCCCATATCTGGGTAGACCAGATTGCCCTGATTAAAAAAAACAAAAAAAACATTTTAATCTCTTCCTTGGTATAGCCGACAAAGCTAGGAGAGCCCATTGCTTAGAGGTTAATACATCTACCTAATATCAGAGGTGGGTTGCTTTCAGTTCAGCCTGGGTCGACCGAACCAGTGGAATTCAGGACTGTGCTCAGAATTCGCAGTGTCCCAGGCCTGACATGCCTCCAAACCGGTTCCCTTGGTTCCACTTAAGCGCCGCCATTTTGTTTTTAAGTGACTGTGCGTGCTCAGTTCATTGTAAATTGTACTGTGCATGCGCGCAGAACAATTTACACTGAACAGTGCACACGTGTGCAGCACGCACAAATTGCACACGGGTTGCAAACCGGCAGTAACGGCAGCAGCAACCCACCCCTGCCTAATATGTAAGTAGCCCAGGTTCGAATCCCAGAAGGGCATGGCTAGCTGATGAGAGCTAAATAGCTTGAAATAGATCTATGCTAGTTTCCATTTATTTCTTTGTAAGTAAATATAAATTCAGGCTTTAAAGACACCCCCAGGTCTGGAAGTCAAAGTTTCCCTACATGGTTGACATCATTTGGAAGGGGAGAATTTACATATTTTCCCCTCCGACTCCTAGCAACCTAATAACGTACAGATTGAAAATATGATGATGATGTTATCCATTCAGGCGTGTCCGACTCTTGATGATTCTCTGGCCAGGTCTCTCCATGTCTTCCGATCTTGCACTGCTTCTTTTCAGTTGTTCTATGCTCTGGGTGGGAACGCAGTGGCTCAGTGGCTAAGACACTGAGCTTGTTGATAAGAAAGGTCGACAGTTCGGCAGTTCGAATCCCTGCAACGGAGTGAGCTCCCGTTACTTGTCCCAGCTTCTGCCAACCTAGCAGTTCGAAACCATGTAAAAATGCAAGTAGAAAAATAGGAACC